CCCTTAAGACGTGGGGACTTGAGTTTGATCTAGCCTGACTTCACAGCTAACAGAGGGAAGAATGAAGCACGGAAGGGCCAATTTCTGGCCATTTCTTGATACAAGTATGGGCTTCCCATTAGCTGGGACTTAACCACCACTTATGAGTCAGGGTCAGACAAAGGAAATTTCACACAATAGTTCATCTTTCACATATGATAGTGGTCACTTTCTAACAGAGGTTCTATTTGTCACACCCTCTTTGACAGAAAGAGGGAAAGAGAGAGAGTGTGTGTGCATGTGCACGTGAACACACACACAGTATTACTTAAACTATGTTAAATAAACTAATTCATGAAGATAATTTTTTTTAAAGATTTATTTATTTATACAAGAACCGGGATACAGTCCGAAGCGCGGGAGGGTGAGAGAATTCACCAGAGCGGGGAACAGAACAGGTAGACTGACAAAATACACTGCTGAGGGGAGCAGCGGGTGGCAGGAGAGGTATGAGCACCATGTGGGACCCTTGCAGGTGGCCGGAGATCGAACTGGCACTGCAGAGGCTGCGGGCAGCTTCGCAGCCCAGTGCTCAACCACTGAGCCACCAGGGAAGGCCCCCGAGATAATTTTTAAAAGAAGCTGAATTATTACTGAGTTTTCCCTCAGAGCTCCCTAAAGCACCTTTGCAAGTAGTAGTTCAAGGAACTTAAGAGGATGGGCACTATTATATTTATAGTGCCCCTATATGTAATGTTTTGATATTGTGATATTGACTCTAACCCTAAAGAGGGTTTTTAAATAACTACACTTGGTCATGTAAAGGTTCAAATAGTCTGATCTAGCAAGAGGAGGTTTGAATGGAGCCTCATGCCTATCAATCTACATCTGGAGAACCGTTCTCTGAAGGGAAATAAGCTGGAAGTCACAGGAAGCACATTTTACCCCAGTCTAAGGAAGGACTTCCTGTCTACTGGGGTCACCCAACCCTGGGCTGCTTTCCCCCTCTTCCCTACCCCTTCCATCCCCCACCCTGCAGTGACTACAGTGTTCATGCAGAGGGTGTCTACCAGCCAGGGAAGCCAGGGAAGCCGGGAGATTCCAATATTGGGATAGAAATGGAGCAGACAGTTCTTCTCATTTTCCAGAGTAAATGCTACTTAACAAATTAAGTTGTTTATTTTCATAGATATTCATGTATTTTTAGATTATTTACCTATAAAATAGGGAGAATACCTTAAGTGAAGAAAAAGACATAATTAAAAACTGTTCTATAGGTTAGTGGAATTTATAAAGAGGCTTATTAAATAACTTGAAATAAAGTGTAGAAGCATCTAAAATTTCCTGAAAATTGCATAGCTTTATCTAGTGTAGTTAAAGGGGAAAAAAAAGAGAATGCATGTATTTTTGACAAAGATGATAAATTGCTAGAGTTCATAACCCAAATGATTTTCTGATTAAAAGTGAATTGTCAAATACAGCAAAGTTAATAACTGAAACCAGTCATAAATCAAGCAAGATGTTAACATGACGATTCTAAAATATGGGGCAAATGAAGTAATCTACAAAATCTTAGTGTTCATCTGGACCTGAAAATTCCCTTAGATGCTTGTATATCATCCCTTAGCACTGTGTATTCCACATTAATCTCTTTGCACCCAAACATATCTATTCAATTACTGTTTGGATACTTGTGAATGTCAATATTCAATAACAAACTGAAAAATTGGATTGGAGTATTTTTGAAAAGTTGTATATCGAAAATACATTTAGGAGGAGGTTTTGCAAAATTCTGAACTACCTGGATACTGTGTCATTTCCTTCTTGATTTTTATGGATTAGCCCATTTTTCTGGTTTTCATTGATCAGTCCTTTTTGCATGTAAGGGGCATAAAAGAAGACTGTGCGAGGTGGTGTAATGCTTCATTGAGGGTGCCAGGATTTTTTTTTTTTAAATATGGAGCATGGTTTTCAAAAGAATGGCAAGTTGAATGTATGTATCACATTGCTGGTATTAAGACAGCTCAAATCTCTTCATGATTCTGAAATTTGCCATGATTTGCATGGAAAATAAATAGCAAAAATGATAAATGGGAAGTGTGCTTATGTGGCATGGAAAAGAGTTGGTTTGTTTAAAGACAGGTACTCTAAGGAGAAAAGTTTGATGGGCTCAGCCATTTTTGGGAGATAATGAAAGCTAAGAGTCATGTTAGACTTTTTAACCTGCAGGATTTGTTCTGTAGATTTAAAGCATCAACATTCATCAAATTTGTAAAATAGTATTTTTCATTTATGAGATACTAATTTTTGGGCCTCGCCTTGCTCCTTTATGCCCTTTTCTCATTAGATTCTAAAACCCGGGAAGGCATCATTTCGTGTGAAAATATCATTTCTTGAAAGTAGAGTCCGGGTCCTGAAAACTCTGCTTTGTCCTTTCGATAGCAAATAATTCTGGCACAAACGACTCCAATGGTGGAAGAAAAACCTCTTCTCACACTCTGTCATCATTCTTTGATCTTTACCTTTTTGCAGTGTAGACTCCAAATCAATTCCACAGAGGTTTTGTGCTTTTCTAATTGCCATTAGAGAGGCCTGTGAATCCTCTTTCTCCATGCTGCAGAGTTCGTAACTATTCTCTTTGACCAAAGTTATTCAGTAAAAATTAAAAGGGCTAGGAGGATCAAAGGCTGTGTGTTTTTAGAATGATGCTGTCATTTTTGTGGGGTCCTTAACCTTTTGGAACAGTGAGGGGCAAGGGAGAGGCAACCACAGTGTATCAGCATTTTCATGGAGCAGAATTATAACCTCAAGGGAATCACTTAATCGCATTTAAGAGCTTAGGGAGGTTGGAGTCTTGTAGCGCCATTAAAGGCAACATCTTGCGATCTGCCAGACAGCACGAGGAAACCCCCTCTGCCCTCATCCACTCCCGCATCCCTCTACCCCATTTATTAAACTCATGGTAACTGATAGGAAGCTTTCGTTCAAGTTTAATCTGTCTTGCTTGACTTCATTACCTGATACTATAAGGACAGATGTGCATTCTTAATAGAAATGATAGTAGATTCCCACCTTACTGTCAGCACCTACTGCCTGGAAGATATATCGTGGTGTAAGGGACTTAATATGTGCCGGGCACTGTGCTAAGTGCTTTGCCTTTATTTCACCTAGTTTTCACAAATAATCTTAGGTTTGTGGTTTCATTTTTATCTCGATGAGGCACAGAGAACATAAATGAAATGCTCAAGGCCAGGGTCAGGAATGGAATTTGGACCTTGCAGCTGATCCCAGAATATGTGGTGTCAACTGCGCTATCAATGCCACACCAAAGGATGAATCTGAAAGAAATGCTGAGCTTTCGTTCTTCAGAGTCATTCAGTTCAACATTTATATGAGCTTAAGTCCCACAGAAGCTAATAAGGTGATGGTTTGAATTCTGTGGCCCCTTAAGTAGAGGGCCTTAAAAGGGAAAACAGAAAGGTTATCTTTATATCCCTAGTAGACAGCCTTTCAATCCAAATTCATATTTTATTAGTTCTGTGATTTAGGTGTGTTGCTAAGTGGGCCTCCCAAGCTTAATCTGTGAAATGAGGATACGACAGTAGCATCTAATTCCTAGGATTTTTGCTGAAACTAACTGCTGCCTTCAGAGGGCCTAGCACAATGCCTGATACATACACATTACCTGTTACTATTTTAAAGATTCCTCTAATTCTTTGTGGAAATAGAATGGTGGCAGAATGAACCAATTGTGTGTGGGATCTAATAAAGTGATCATGTCTAATAGAAGATAATTAAATGTATGAATGTGATTATTCAAGGCCAGTAAATGAACTAGATTTTCTGCAATACTATCTTTGGACCTGTGACTCAGGACCACCTTGGGGTGGGTGTGTTGCCATGCAAAGCTTCAGGTGTTTACTATGCTCCAGAGAGAATTCAGGTTGTCTCAAATTCAGAATTACAGCAGGGTCACAGGGCACCACATCTGCTCCTCACCTGCTCAGTTCTGCTTCAGAATGCATAGTTGTCATGAAACTGGGGTTGATCCATCTCTGTTCATTAGAAATATAAAATCAGTATAGTCATAGGGAGGGATGTAATGAGGAAAAATAAGTAAGATGGCAATGCTCTAGGCATATGGGCATTCTCCTGGGTAGCCATGGATGCCTGGGGGCGGGGAAGTAGCTGTATGTGGGGGTTGGGACAGGACTCCTCCCAACTCAGCTGCCACCAGACTTTCCTACTTTAGGTGAAACTATCCCGTTTCTGTTTCAAATTGAAAAGTTCCCCTTTATTCTCACTCCCCTCAGAAACCCTAAAGTCTGTACACACGAGTACAGCAATTCTCTCCACGCCATCCTTTGAAAATGATGGGGTAGGTAGCCTCAATCTAGGAAACCCCATATTTTATAGAAAGCAGCTCACTTGGCACTTTAAGGGTTAAATTTTTGTTACAAAGAGTATCAAGTGACTCTCCAAGAGGGGATAGCCCACAATTTGGAAACTGCCATTTCTAAAGGATAAGCCAAATATACATTAGTTTTTACAGCTTTCTATGAAGGAAATAACTTGCCTCTCTCTGTGTGTGAGTTTGCTTCGCTCTCATCTGTCTGCCTATCTATCATCTCTGTACTGCATGTATCAGGGTGGATTGAAGACTGTCAATTCCAGTTAATAAAACCCCCAGAACATGACAGAGATCCTTTTTACTATAGATCCATTTTACAATTGCTCTCAATTTCTTATGTCACATAAATCAAAATGAAAGTGTTTATCTCTTTATCTGATCCTTCAGAGGCATCCCTTCCCGGTGTGTCCTAGCCCCTCCCCCTGTGCCAGTTTCCAGCCCCTCAAAGATGCTTTGTGCAAGAAAGTGCAAGTTCCTTGTCTGGCTTTATTGATGTTCCCTTTTGCTCTCCTCCTGGCTCCCCCCCAAACCAAGCAAGCAGAGCAAATGGCCCGGGTTCTCCCCCAATGCCTGACCTGCGTTTGCTGGGAGGAGAGCGGGAGAGGGAGAGTGCATTTGGAGCAGGCTGCTCTGACTCCAACCCAGGCTGCTTCCTGCAGGCTGTCCCTCTCCTTCAAAACCTTGCGTTCCCTCCCCGAAGCTGCAGGCAGCGTGCCTCCATTCAGCCACATTTGGTATGCATGAGCACTGCTGCGGGAGAGGGGAGGTGGCTTTCTTAAGAAGGTTCAGTGGCTCAGGCAACGCCTCTTGACTAGTCTCCCAAGTTCCAGGAAGCCTCTGTCCTAATGGAATTCGCAGGTGTGGACATGACCATGGGATGCCAGGGCCGTGGGGGATTATTTATTTTCTAGGCATTGCTCAGGTTTGCAGTTTCTGGTTTTCCTGGTGGAATTTGGAAAGGGTCATGAATCAAACTGATGCTCCTCGACCCCTAAACTGGACCATCCGGAAGCTGTGCCATGCAGCCTTTCTCCCATCTGTCAGACTTCTTAAGGTACTGTAACTTGCTGCTTTGAATGACTCTAATTATGCTTTTCAGGTCTAAATATACAACTTTGCACTTTGGCTGAGACATACCTTTTAGGGCGCCAGAATGCATGCGGTACTGGCTCTGTTGCCTGTGGCTGGAAAGGGGTTCTCGGAGCCCCTGACTGCCTGGTGTCAGGGAGAAGAGGCTGGTCCAAGCCACATTGGAGAATGAGGCGATGGATGGGCTCAGAGAATGGGCTGCCTGAGTGCTACCCTCCCCCCAGCATCCCTAAAATAGATTCAATTAACTTCTTTGCAGGGTGGGAAAAGAAGTGGGAGGGAAATCTCCCGCTCCCCTGTATCTGGCTTCTGGGGTTTCTTTCCCTCCCAGGGGAAGCCCTTCGACCCACTTTCCCTTTAAATGAAATCTGAGAGAACAAAGGATCCTCCTCATTATTTGAAAGCCCTGTGTCCTTAGGTGCTTGCTCAGGTAAAGACAAAGAATGAAACTCATCAGACTGTGACTTTTTTGGTGTCCTTGTTTTTAAAAATCAGGCATGATCATTTTAGTTTCTCACTGAAGTCGGTGGTGGGAAAGTATTGGTGAATATAGATTGAATGTGTGCCTCTCTCAGGCTCGCTCTCCAGCTCTGAGTTACACAAAAGGATTGTACTACACCTGAGCTAGAGTTGCTACCCTGCATCTGCAGCTCTTCTCTTTCTAGAAGCAAATGCATTGAAGAGAGTGAAAAAGTCCCCACAACTCCATATTTCCTCTTCACCATTTGCCTTGGAGGGGAGGAAATATCAATACATTGAAAAGGTGCAGGCAAGTATTTTCCTCACAAAAGAATGTGGTAACACTTATTTGGAAAAGGGCATATTTCTGGATGTCTCACAGTCATTGGAAGTTATAAAGGCAAGGCAAAGTTATTAATTCTCTCTTCCATGCAAAATATGATATCTTGATTTAATTATCACTGGCCATTGAGTCCAGTCAGTCCCAATAGATTAATGAATTAGTTCTGAATAAATTACACTAGCAATGTTGTGTGTGTGTGCATGAGAGACAGAGACAGATATTGAGATCGACTATTCTGCTGGGTTAAGTGTGATGTGGACAATTAGTTCTATAAAGCTAAGTGACTCACAACAGAGTATTGCCCATTGTCCTGGTTTTCCTTATCTTACTAAATACAAACTGATTATTACCCTCCACAAAGACTCCCTTCATGTCCTGTTCATATTGTTGGCATGGCAGTGTTTTGCTTCCTTAAAAGATTATTTCGAAGCAAATGCAGGTTTGGGCTGAGGGAGCAGGAGAAAACCATCCTTGGATCTAAGTGCTTTTGCTGTCATAGAACAACATGTGTGATAGTGCATGCAAAAGAATAAGGGCAGGGAACTAACAAATGAATGTAAATTTCACTCCAGAATCACTAAGAAGTCAAGGCTCTGGGGCAAAGAATTGGATGGCAAATCTAACTATGACTGAGAAGATTGATTCCAGCCATCCCACGTGCAATGAGAAACATTTTTCAGATAGTCATTCATTGGCTTTCCTCCAAAATAATGCATCTTAACTTACATAATGGTCTTCTTAACAGGTGTATGCATATCACCCTAATATATTATTCATCAAAATTCTTTTTTTAATGGGAAATGTTGTTCATCATCTATTAGTCAGAAAAGCAGCAGAGAACTATCTATTTGAGGTAGATTACTTATTTTTGGAAGCGCTGTCATGTTTGTTTACTGGAAGTGCTGTCCATGTTCTCGACCAGCAGACATTGTTAATGCTACACTCATTTTCATTGGCACAGAGCTCAATCCTACCAGCCTTTATTAACATAGTGCTTTATAACAGTTCATTCAGTATAGCGCATTAGGGAGTATCCTTCCAATTTCCTCAGTATTCAAAAAGTAGGAATTGTTTTACTAAGAACTTTATTTCCAAATAATAACTGTTTTGAAAGATCATAGATGTACTAGAAGATTTCAAACTCTTAAAAAGTGATACCAACTCCTTCCAGCAATACTTAACAATATATGAAAATTGCTTTTATACACCAGTAAATGTATTATTGGTATTCTAGATAATGAGTGCTAGGTAATTCTCTCCCCTCTGGATTGCTGCTGACCTGTATTTGCTTTGCTAGTTTTCTTGCCCTGCTTTTATATTCCATGTTGAAAAAAATTCCTGAGTAATCATTTGCATCTCTTGGTTAATATTCTTCCTGGTTTAATCTATAAACTCAATATTTAATAACAACAGTTCCTACTGTTCTTTCCTTCCTTTTTGCTTCCTCCTTTCCTCCCCTCTCAGCATCTTTTTCCACCTCCCCCACACTACTTCTACCATGTTAATTTGACTGATGAGTTCTCTGGGCATGCAGGTGTCTGTTGAAACCCTGAAGTAACAAACCCAATTCTTCTGCTCAACAGGTATTTTTTGTTCCTCTCCAGCACAGTTCTATATGACATGCCCTTTCTAGAGTCCTGCCTAGTCAGTAAATGCAGCATAGGGCATAATGGCATGATTCAATTTAGCTAAATGCAAATCACTAAAACTGGCACGATGCCAATTTCTCTTCCTATGCTTTCCTTCAAAATGTCTCTCTGCTAACTTCAGTATCACGCTAATGGTCACAGTCCTGTTTACTGTATTTCCCATTTCTGAATAGAAATTGGATACTGACAAATTAGAAAGGGAAAGTCAGCTTCTGAAGCATGAATTAAACCCAATGAGTGTTGGCATGTACTTGTTATTCCTTCTGAAAAGTCTTCGATATTATTTCACCCATCTCAGAGCAAATTTTAAACATGTCAACCAATTTATATTTTGAATTTTAGATTTCATTTGGAAATGAGTTTCTGTACAGGAACAAGATAATGATAGCCAGAGGACAGAGATTGTTTTCAAATAGATACATTTCAAATGGGAATCTTTCCAAACTATTTTTCTTGATTCTTATGTATTTCAAGATTTTATCTTACTATTAATTGCAAAAAAAGTCATTTCAGTGATAGAATGTTCTTAACATATTTCATATTCATCGGCCATTGTTTATGTGGGAGAAATTATTTTGGCAATTTCTGCTGAATTTGAAGACTAATTTTAGAACAGAGCTTTCTTTGTATTGAATTCTCTGTAGACTTAACTAAAAGGAAAGTTTCCTGAAAAATGGGTTGCAGTGGGGGAAGGGAAGCTCTGTACTTTGATCAAAAATTTAAGCCACTTTGTCAACGAAGACCAAACAGTGTCATTTCAGAATTTTCAGAGTTTTATGTTGTTAAATGATAAAAATTTGCTCTTTTGAACAATGTTAGTAAGAGATTAAAGAAATTGTATTCTGGAAAATTAGCTCTCAACATTGGGTCTTAATTCTGTTGTTTTCCTAACCAACTGTGTAACCTTGAGTAACTTATTTAACCTCTCTGTAATTTGGTGTGCTTCTCTTTAAAATGAAGAATTTAGGGGTCTCCCCTGGTGGCGCAGTGGTTGAGCACTGGGTTGCAAGGCTGCAGCCTCTGCAGCACCAGTTAGATCCCCGGCCACTGGTGAGGGTCCCACCAAAGAATAAAAAATAAAAATAAAATAAAATAAAATGAAGAATTTAGGTCTTGACTTAGGTCTATCTAATGTTGTGAGTCCCTGAATTGAAGACTGCCATGTTTGTGGACATGGAAGAATATAATCCACTGGGGCTAAAAAGAGTTAAACTGGATTGTATATTAAAATATAAAAATGACTAGAGAAGTTAGCCATGTTCAAGTCACAGAAAGCTTTGTCTTCAAAACTAAGGCATTTGACCATATAATGAAAGTTTCTAGAATAGAATGTTGGAAGATGGTGGGACTGGAAGGTACGATAGTAGTTTAGAGACCAGGAGAGGGTTACCTGGGCTTAGGCAATAGCAATGGTGGTGAAAGAAGCAAGACCTTGTAAAAAATGATTAGTTGTGGTAGAGAGAAGAATTTGTGATAACATCTAAGTTTCTATCTTCTGTCCAGTTGAATGACTGTTTCATCAGGTTGGGGAAGTTCTCAACACCCAAGACAAATACATATGACTATAATATAAATGACATTAACATAAGTATATAATAAATTGGCAGTACAAATGGGGAAAAGCAATGAACTTTGGGAAAGTTGGAGAGAATGTTGATGCAGAGTAGGCAAACCTGGTCTAGAGAGCGCCAGGAAATCAATCAGTGTATGAGGAAGATGGGATACTGCTTCTCAGGGCAAGAGTTCCCAGTGGCTCTCCCCAAACCTTGCAGAAGGCTCAGGACCATGGCCGTAGGGTCTATGAACATCGTAAATTGCCTCAACAACATACCACTTCTGGGAGTCATCTTATGAGCAACACTTGTTAATTTTGATTCATGCAAACCCTCTCGCACAAACAGGTTTTTATCTGTCCTTGTCTCTTGCATGTATGCTTATCAGTTTCTTCCTAAATAGTGGTTGCTTTTTATTGATAATCTAAGTCACTCATTTCACAGTTGCCACCATCTTTCCACCTGTCAGGGTCATTACAATGTCAATATATATGGTAATTTGTGGTGATGTGTCTGAAAATAAGGTTCTTGAAAAGGAAGATAGGGTTTCAGACTTTGATTCCTCTTGGTGAGCTAGAAAAGGTGTGTCAGTTATTGACAATCATGAGAATCAGACAAAAGGTAGAACAAAATGCCATGACACTGATGGGTATGATGAATAAATTTTTGAAGTAAATAATATAACATCAGTAATATCACTTCTAATTTTCTTAGATTGTATTCTTGTTACTTACACTCTGTCTGCTCAAAACTATGCAGAGTACATTTCCAGTTTTTTGGAATCAAGTCAAAAAAACCCAGACTTTGGTTGTTCTCCCCCCCTTTCTTTTTTTTCTACAATCCAAAAAAGGATTAATAAAAGTGAATGGGGCAGCACAAATGAATTAACTCAGTGATGTTTGGTCCAAGTGTTATGAGGACCCACAGCCAGGCAACCCGTTTTATATCGGGGCTGCCCTGT